GAGAGAATCAATGACCCTCCAAATATTCAAGTCTTCTACAGACAGTTCACAAGGCGAAGTAAGAAGCTGGGACACTTTGTTTATGTGGATCAGGAAGAGAAGCTGCTTTTTTGGGGTTCTAATCCACATCGCTGCAGTGCTTCACGTGTTTAACAAATCGCAGAGCTTCCTGTTTGGGCTGCAATAACTGATAGGAAAATCATGGGATTATTTTCTTTCTAACTTGTTGTGTTATCATACTCATCCCCTAATTGTCCTAGCAGCGTCGTACAATGGATTGCTCAGGATTTACGTACTTCAAATTTAGAGGCCGACGGAGTATTCAGTGTAATTAGGTGGCAACACCATGGTGCGCAAACACATTATGCTTAAACAGCTCGTGGATATCACAGCGCGAAATTCGGTCATCGTTAGATCGTTCGCGGAGTACCAATTAACTGGCCCACACGGTCACCAAATTTGAACCGGCTGGATTTATTTTGAAACGAAGAGTGTAGGAAAAGTATACGAAAGCAAAGGTAATTCACTTGACCAATTAATGTCACGCGACTACGGTCGAGACTGCAAGCAGAGCGACGGTGAACACGTTGAACATCTTCGCTGAGATCTTTGTTAATTAAACCCAGCTTACTTTAAACACAGGTTTTGACAGACTAAATGAAGTAAAGATTAAATTGGTCTATTCTCAAAGAGTGTGACCCCACAGGTTTAAGGCAGTGCTTCCTTCGCCAACAGATGATGTTGTCCCGTAAATGGAGCTGCTCGAAATTGGGAGCTTGATAGCTCTAGCTTAGTTTTCAATATCGGTAGAAGGTGCCGAGCCAAATTTTGCCCGGCCCGTCGACTTAAGCGCATTCGATTAGTTCGTCATTGCCAGTGACTTTGCGGTTTTATAAGGTTCCAATATATTCTTCTACGGTTATGCAGAATAACAACGCAGTCTGATCGACGAATGAGTTTTATGTGGTATGAATGAAAATCAGTTACATTGCTTGGTTATTATCGTGCCAGATGTGGCCCGATAAAATATCATCAAATGGTTAGGAAAGGTGAATCCCGATGTACAAGATGAGGCTTTCATTCCGCCCGCTGAATACAAATGGCAGGGTCTGTTCTTGATAACCATTATAATACAGGTTAAATGATTTACTACAGAAAAAAGTAACCGAGGGTCAGGAAGATGTAAGGACCTGAAAATGCACGTAGGAAAGAACTAAGCTAAAAGAGTGTAACTTAAAGCATGGAATCAGAAGAGGATTGCTGATGAGTGATCAGAATGTCAGAAGGGACGATGGTACAGTATCACTCTGTCGTGGCTAAGAAACCAAATCCAACTAAGGCGTTATCAGAAACAAGTATAGGTCCAGAAAGCAAAAAGGTGACGTAGGTTCAAATAAAAGTAAGTTTAATCTGCGGTAGTGTAGCGGTAAGCAAGCTGTCAAACGCGAAATTTTGAGGCTGGTTATGAAATGTAATTCCAAATGATCTGGGCCATGTTCTCAGAACTCCGATGCGCAGCACATATGCAATTTTAGAGACGTAGAGGAATATGTGGACAGAGTTTCGGAATCGTTAGGCGGTTTCTGCTTAACTAATGCGGATCGGTAGCTTATACTATGTGACAGCGTATCTATAACGAAAGAATTTGGAGCGTATGTTGCTGTCGACTTTGGTAAAATAAGTGAAAAGTGTCTGTTTTTGAGAGCGTACTTGATAACATGTTTGAAGAAAAAGTCATGGTTGTATGTGGGCTGAGATACTGCCAGGGCGCCCAGACCTAGACAGGAGGACGATTAAGGTCCTCACCCAAAGCCTTTGGCTCAAAAGCCTGTCCGAATGGCATCGAGGAGGTGGCAATGAGTTAGTATTACAGACATGGACGCCATCTTATTTCAAACCCCCAACCTGGACGACCAGGAAACTGAGTTTGTCTGGCCACTCTCCATTGACCAACATGATAGGAGTAGCTCTCAAGGTGCCCGAAGGCACCACACAGTATAGATCAATGGGTCAAGGAGGTACGCAAACCGTCGCACCACGTTAAGGTCCAGTTTCGTTGCGAAGGTCCAGTCTCGTTACTACGGGTGCAGGTGAGGTCTTCTACAAAGCACTGACCTCCATATTCCGGCTTGAATGCCGTAGAAATTTCTTTTCCCTCCGCGTGTGTCAGCCTTGGAACGCCCTCCCTAATTATGTGGTCTCTGATCCCAATTTGGCAATATTTAAAAGACATTTCATTTTATGACTTGTTAGCCAGGGGCTACAAAACGCAATCAAACAGTGTCATGCCAAACGCCTAACCAATGGATTTATGGATTTATACGTTTAATACGCAAACATCACCGCTATTCCATATAAGTCTATGGTGAGTCCACCACAACGCTTTTCACCTTATCATGCAATTGATTTTCGCAATAATTTCCATCCTACGGGAATTGACAAGCAATGCTTTTTGCCCGTACTAAACCATTGTTCCATTGTATCTGGAAGGAAGAGAGTGTCCAGCCTAATGGGAGCGAATCGATTATAGTGGCAATATACAAGAGGGGCAGTGGCACAGACTATTCTAACCACACGGGTATTAGCCTAACGCCAGTTGGGACAAAAGTACTGGCCTCGATTCTTGTTCGTCGCCTCACTGCGGAACGGGAATCTCGAAGTAGGGAAGAACAGGCAGGTTTCCGCCTAGGACGTGGCTGTATGGACCATATATTCACTTTGCGGCAGTTGCTAGAGCAGCAACCCGCAAACTGCAAACCGATAATAGCTGTGTACCTCGATTTCAAGAGTGCGTTCGTTTCAGTCGATCTAGGCATTCTGTTCGAAATACGTGCGCGGAAAGGTCCCCACAAAATTTGGGAATATCTTTCGTGCTCGATACTCGAACACCAAAGGCCGTGTCACGGTCTACGGTGGTCTGTCGGATAGCTTTCCGACCACAAGTGGCGATCGTCAGCGTTGTCCGATTCTCCCAATTATGTACAATTTCGTCTTGGATGCTATCATGGAGTGTTTCCTTACAGAATCTCACGATATAGGCGTTGAAGTGCTGCCTGGTGAGAGATTATTTGATCTTGATTATGTGGACGATATCATCTTGCTTTTCGACGCTTTTGCGGCGACACAATCAACCCTGAATAGCCTCTCTAAAGTGGTCCCATTATTCGGTATTCAGTTCGCACCTTCAAAATGCAAAATGCTGCTGACCCTTTGACGCTTGCTAACGAGGAACTCGAGGTGGCTGATCAATTCACTTATCTTGGCAGCTGCATCAGTAACGACGGGCGCATAGAAACTGACGTCAGCTCATGCATTGCAAAAGCCAGAGCTGTCTTCTTGTACCTGCGACATCTTTGGTGACAGAAGGGGATTTCGCTGCATCTGAAAGACCGTGTATACAAGGCCACGGTGAGAGCCGTTCTGCTCTATGGTAGTAAGACTTGGCCCCATCGTTCTGAAGATCTGAGGCGCCTTCAAGTCTTTGATCATTGTTGTCTGCGAAGCATTGCTGGAGTCGGATGGCACCAGCATGTTCGCAACGATGATGTGCGAAGGCGAGTACTAGGTAATGATAATCATGCTAGCACCCTAGAACAACAGATAGCACTGAATAAGTTGCGTTGGCTCGGACACGTGCTACGTATGCCTGGTCACCGCTTACTTAGGAGGGTCTTGTTTAGTCGATCAGGTGTAGGGTGGCGCAAGGCTCGCGGTGGACAGAAGTTGACTTGGCAGCGGGAAATTAAGACACTGACGACCAAACCGGGTACCGTTGGTCCGTCTGGCCTTCCGGGCTGGAGTCCACGTGACTCGCCTTGTGCTTGGCTAGAGACTTTACAGGACATGGCTCGCAACCGACACCAGTGGCGCATCTGTTGCCGTCTCCTAATCGGACTGCCTGTTTAAAATGTGTTTGGTGCTGAGTTATCTACGGGGTAAGGGTTGATTATAACGTGGGGCGGTGAAAGCTGCTAGGAAGCTGTCTCGCTGATGCCGCCTTAGCTTTGCACGACAGCCAGCTGTCTGGGATGGTATGTTTTCTACACAAAGTTTCGACGCCTTGACTCTGAATACTTGCTTAGAGTACTAAGGTTTTCAGGTAAATCCCTCCTCTTTCCCTCTTAGTATTATTTATTTCATAGGTCCTCGTGGTTGTATGGCAGCGAAGCATCAGTTCAAATGGCTGACGTACTGCTGTTGACGATGATGATGACTTGGTAACATCCACCTGCATAAAAGTTTGCCTGCCCGTTCCCACTCACATTTTACACAACAAATCGTGTGCTCTAGCTCATGTGATCTGTCTTTGTCTCAGCCATAGACGAGCCGTCACTCAATGTAATTTGGGTCCTCTGACTCAGTTGCAGGGGTTCACAGTCGAACTCGAACAGTAGGAGGATCGAGATCCTGGATCATACCCGCCTGTCACATGTCCACACAGCGAAGGGGAGAGCGAAATCGATGACTCCGCATACAATTGTGTGTGGGCCAAACGCTGGTGTATTCATGTGCGCATTTGCGGCCAAACACAATTTACCGATTGTATGGCCGTACAACTAGGGGAACTGCTCGAGCTTTGTAGTGACGCGCAGTGTGCGATATTGGATGCTCAAGCATTTTTGGATTAAAGAGGCTTAATTCCACCATACCTGACAACCCGTACACGTGATTTAGCCTGCGATGTTTGGAACTCAGCATAAGGTAAATAAACTATTACACAAGTAACATTTACAGTATCAACGGATGCGTGTTGTTTTTATTACTTAATCGGTTTTGTTTTTGTTATTTTAACCTGCGGAGCTCTGCAGGCATTCATCTGTTACCGTTAACAAACCGTCTTTTCATCTTCATTTGCTATTTTGCTCCCTTTGTTTCTTTCCGTTGAACTAGGACAAGAAGGAACGCTATCCTTAATGGATTCGCATAAACACCGATACAATTTCTGCAAGGTCCGTCACAGCTGGGCGTCAGAGATTGGAGTCGTGGTATAATACGGGTAAAAAAGCCGAAGCTTGACAAGGCCCGCAGGAAGGTCAGTGTGAAACACATAATTTTAAAGAAAGTTTGACGGCAACATTAACCAAGGATCTGTGGCTTTACGATATTATCCACGTTACACACCGGTAAATCCGTTTGCCCTGAGTTCGTGGGGCTGGTGAGTACAAAGTTACTATGCGTCTTGTTGTTACTGAATTAGTGAGTGATATGTCAGGTAATGCCAATGTTTTAATGCATCGTCAAGACTATTTTAAATTTGACTAACGTGGAGGGAAGAAAAACATCTATCGCAAGAGGGTTCTACGGCTAACAAATTCGGAGTAAAAAATTCCGGCCACATCCCAGCCGGCCGTACTGGGTGGTCAGTTTTGTCTCGTGGCACCTCAGTTTTGCATTGCAGCTAAGCCTCATGAGAACGCGGGAATGACTTTTCCTTTTGGGCCAGTTAACAGATGGGGTGACGAAAGTAGTATTAAAATTTCCGCAGAAGTTGGTGCTATATAATGTTCCCTTTCTGTAAGCAGGGAACACGTACATTGGTTGGCATCAACTCAGAACCAAACTGCAGAGTGTGAAACTAAGATCATTGGAAATTTGAATGAACTACCCCTTAGTGAATATCACAACTATTCCAAGTAGCAACTAAGTCTAGATGACATCACAGAACGCCGTATCCATACAATATTCCATGGAAATGCCAAACAACGGATAACACCTAACCCACCGCCATCAGAATACAAAAACCGCTTCTTAAATCAGATGAGGGAAACTGTACGCTGTCGCACCTCAAGATATGATGTTGAAACCGATTTTGGGGTCAATAATAACCACTCGACCTATTACCAACCATCGCAAAATTTTTTTGCTACCTACCTCTCCAAACCCGAAATGGCATCATCCCTACAGTACTAACGCAGTAACTCGGGACAGACCTGAAGATACGTATGGGGACATACGCCTTCATACCTCTATTACCTCTCAATGGCAGCCGCAGTTTCTAGCCTACCCTCCACCGCTAGTTCCTGCTGCGGAATATTCTCACCAAGTGAGCGTTTTTAGGCCGACATCCGCCCCCACCAATAGGGTCTCCACATACGACCATACACAACCCAATGATGATCCAATTGTTCCAGCATTTGCTTCGCTGGAGCCAGAGCATCGTAACGCACGACAAAACCCAGGTGTCTCACCCCTTCGCACCACCCACGTCCATGAGGACAGTGGATGTGATATAACAAAATTTGTGTTTCCTACCCCATTCCTTTTTCTTAAATCCGAAATTATAGATTTTTGTTCGCTATTATCAATACTAGATATCCATACAACGTTTATGTTCCTTAAAACTATTCACATTATTTGTATCAACGAAACATGGTGCACCTCAACTATACATGAATACAGCTGCATATTTTGGATGATCAAGTGTTTCGGAAGGATTGTCTACACAAACGCGGCGTTGGAAGTGCTATTTGCATACGCGATGGCATAACAGCAATCTCAGCTGATCAATGATTTGAATGATTCGTTATGGTTGACTATCCCGGCCGATGATCTGCTACTGAGCTGCATCTATGGACCTCCCGATGCCACTCTCCATCTCAGCAGTTAATGTCTGTCATTAACGTTGCCTCCAGCGCTCCACCCAACTACAAATTAATATGTGGCGATTTCTGTCTATCATATGTAAATTGGATGTCGCACAGGCCTACAAAACTGGAGGACGTGCCGGAACTGATACAATTTGTCTGTATCAGTGGTTGGACCTAACACGTTAGACAACCTACAAGTTTGGATAAGTTTCTAGATCTGGTTTCACCATGGGTATTCCATCTGTCCGCGTATTAATTGAAGACCGATTAATAGGATGTGACCACAATACGGTTCTCTGCAGCATGAATATCAGGCCATCTATAAAGACCATCTATAAAGGCCAGTACCCCGAATACTCCTTACGGATTGGAACATATTTGACAAGCTGCATGGGGGAATGCATTGGGACTGATTCTTCTCTACATCAGATTCGGCCATAGCCGCAGGCGAATTCGCGAAAAATATTATCACATGTATGGATATTTCAGCACCTACAACGAAGGTAAACAAAGACCCATTTGACGACCAACAAAAAAGTGCATCCAAGATCGCTTCCAAGAAGTTGTGATCACTGCACTGCAAATACAAAGACATCGCCACACCGATTCAAATACACGCATCCTTACTGAAACTTGAACACCAAACTCATCAGTCCAGGATTGCGGAGGAAACCCGAGCCATCACTAATGCGGAGAAAGCTCGTACCCTGATGCTAGTACTCAGAAGAAATCCGAAAAAGCATCACGAAATTACAAGCCTATTTTAAACGACAGTACGACAACAGACGATATAGTCCAAAGATGTGATTTGATGAATTCCTACTTTGCTGCGTCGTTCAGCACTGCACCACCTGTATCCTCTCCTTTCTTTCCAATAAAAATGGAAGAGGTTTTGTTTACCCTTCCTCTGAATCTAATGGACTTAAAGATGACTATAATATCTATAAAACCGGCTTTCCAACCAGGACCTGATGGTATTCCCCCTGCAGCTATAAGGCTAGGTGGTGGAAACACATCTCTCCACATGTTGAATATTTTTATACTGTCACTAAACACTAGTTTTTCCCCATCTCAGTGGAAAATTCCATAATTTTACCGAAACACAAAGGCAGTCCACGAGATAGAGTGGCAAATTAACGACCGATAAACCAGACCTCCGCCGTTTCTAAAGCCTGAGAGAATCGTCAAGACTCTAGCAAGCCGAAACCTAATCAGCAATTTCCAACATACGTTCATAACAAAACGTTCTTGGGTCATTTGCCTATTACAATTCCTCGATCATGTTACAGCAGAATGAGATGACGGCATCGCTATCGTCATCATCAACGATCTAGATTTGCCAAAAGCATTTGGCTCTGTACCGCACAAACCATTGTTGGACCTGCTGGAGTTCTATGAAATCAGCAACCCTCACTTGAGCTGGTTCGAATCATATCTGAACGACCAAGCATAAAAAGTACAGATTAGTCAATAATGTTCTACCTCCAGTAATCTCACGAGCATTGTTGTTCGGGGCGGTGTATTGAGCCCATTGCTTTTCCTCATTTACATTGACGAAATACGTGATTACAGTAGACACGGGCGTCTAGTTGTATTTGCACATGACATGAAACTACTCATTCTTACCTGACCAGTTGAAACTGTGTTTAACAACTACACTCGAGAACTTATCATCCTTAGACAAATGGAGCGAAAGCAGGTCAATGAGTTTTGCTGTAGATAAACCCCAGATATTCTGCCACAGATAGTATACCAGTACGATCTATCACTCAATGGCACACCCATTCCAACTACAGATTCCGTACGCGATCTAGGAATCCGATATTGGAGCAGCTGCAACTTCACCGAACACATCCTACAGCAAGTTGCGAAGGCGAAGCAACAAACGAGTTATATCACTAGGCCACTTCCCCTATCCCGAACACGAGTTAAATCATTCAAACTCATTGTGCGACATACTCTAGAGTATTGTACCATCATGCATAGCCACTTACGCAAAACAGATAGAATTTCTTTGGAAAACGTCCAGCGCTCATTTACCAAAAATACGCATGGGGCGCTCATCATCGCTTACCTATGAGGAGCGACGTTCCCACCCCTTAGCACGATCCACTGGCTTCGACAGCTGAAACTCAATCTCACTCTTCTACAGCATAATATTCTCGCGAGTTGGCTCAACCAGTACGACCGTCGCATTACATAATTGCTCAGCCTATCCCACCCGTAATGAGAAACTTCTTCTATTCCTACAGAGGACCAAGCAAAATATCCGCTTAAAATTCTTCTTAGTGTGGTATGCCCATCTGTGCAATTAAGAACTGCGAGAGACTGCGTAGTTATAAAAGTAATTTAAAAAACTTTTTCCATGTCAAATGTGCTCAAACGTTTCGACCTTCGACAATCCACGAGCGCGCTTATGGAATCGGGCCCGAAGAACATATGACAATGATAACTGTCAAATGTTGCTTATTAAATACACAACAAAACTTTGCAGAACTGTTCCATATTGAATGGCTCACCGATGAAATGATGAGGAAACTCGCTGTACAAATGATGGTTCCACAAAAGAGAGCGTATCCAGTTTGTCTGGAAATATATCCATTTCTGTATTTCAGGAATCGTCCACGTTTCGCATTCCATCTAGCTGCTATGGGACTAGAATACGCAATCCGACAGTCACTCATTCGTTGTAAAGTCCACAGGGCTACGGGCTATGGTAACAATCGATTGTAATGACATGTGATATAGAGTCATTCACTATCCACTGACTTACACGTTACTACCATGCAGAGGACGCTGTAACCCCACAACAAGCGAAGAACTTACTTGAGTCGCCAATTAGTTTACAGCATTATAAGCAGTTTGGGCTGCATACTGATTACAGAGGAGTAGTAGGAAACGTTCATTGGCGTAAGTGGCAATTTATCACCTCCGGGCTCAGTCCGATAGTCATCACACGCCCGGAAAATCGCTGTGAGGCCGTTTTCTCATTTCAAGTATCGTCCGCATTGAGCATTTCATCTGTCACTTGTAGGGCTCGAAACCGCAACCCGACGGTTCCCAGCTGGTAGTGACGACCACTAGTCCACAGGAGACGATAACGACTGACATCACTGTTACTGGTTGTCTAGCTGAGTCTGTTTGTAATGAACCTCTAGTTATGCCATTTAACCTCCACCACAACCCCTTGAACTCTCCAAGAATTACCAGACGGCCGAGACAGGGTAAAATAATAAAACATGATTGGCGGTATGGTGTAGGAAGGGAGCCAGTTCCCTTCTCTGCACGACAGCAAGGGACATGACATCGGAGGATGGGCCGCGTTATATCTCAGCTAGTAAACAACTGTGGAGGCTTGCCACTGCCCCTCATGGCTTAGTGACTAAAGTCGTTGGCTCGCGTAAATCATGGGTTCTGGCCCATCTAGAATTGGCCGTCCAAAGCTTCGCAGAAGAGTGCTAACTTTCTGGTTGCACTGAATCTTCTCGAAAATTTACAAGAATCCTCCTACTGCTCTCTGACTTAAATTAACTTGGTATCAGTGCGTACACATTAATGAAAAAGACAAATATATGTTCCAGGACGACGGATAGATGATGGAGCGAAATGCATTGTGTGCTCCTTGTTCTTCGAACTCTAATACTCTGTATTTCGCATAACCGTCCTTTTCGTCCCCTTAATTTGTGTAAGTAAACATCTAGGCCAAGTGGGTGGCGTGTACCGCTATCGGAAAGGAAGTCTTCCCCCGTATCGGATAATCTCAATCCTTGTTTACCAGACCTGATTATGTCTTTCTCTCGTCATCTCTTCCTCATAAGATGGCGGGGTTTATAGAGCGTATTGGTGTAGTTTTATTGTACGAATTCGAATCCTCTCCGTTTCACGCAAACCACACGCATCTGCTTTCTATGTCTGAAAGTTGTTGCTGTGAAATCAAGTCAAACTAGGCTTCAAGTACCTAATGAGGTGAATTTTTGACATTTAAATTATCAACATCATCACTCATACAAGATTTCACAAGTGTATAAACAAAAGGGAAAGGGCTGTGTTTTTGAAACTAGAGTAATTGGACGGTTAATCTCTATCAAGGATGCCATATTTCTGAATCGAATCCTCAGGTTTTGTATCCAATTGAGAGAACAGAGTTTTACTAATATTTTTCGTAAGGTCCGAAGCCGCCTAAGACTTCCTAACCAAAAGAAACAATCACGAATCGTGAGCAGTGTAGTATGTGGCCAGTCAATGGCTTTTGTGAGGTCGTAATAGACTGAGGGGGTTGAAATGCAAAACAGATACTTCGTAAGTGGCTGGATACCTTCATCACAATCATCTAACAGAAGACGGAGCTGGATGGAGAGTGCGGCTGATTTACGCCTGTTGGCGGACTGCGTGACGTTGTCGCGGCCGATGGAGGACCGCGCTTGAGGTGACTGGATGGATGGCATAAAAACAAACGGAAGATGACTCTGATAGGTCGAAAACAAAATGGTAAGGGAAAGGAGAAGATGAAAAGACAATGGACATCTAGGATAGGCTCGGAGACCTTGTACCTGTTGGCTTGTTAAAAAGAGACTTTCTGACGTGCTACAGTAGTATCTGCCCTTTTAGTCAATATAAATAAATAAATAGTTTATGCTCAAAGTTATCGATTTATATGGATAAAGTAAAACGTTACCGGTGACTTAGGAAACTGTTTAACAACAAGTTGTCCAGATATTATTTCAAAACTGCTTTCCACATTAAACATCATAACACTATGTTCAGCGGAAACAGCAACTTTATAAGCCCCGCCAATTTTGGCGACTCAAAATGATTGAGGACATGGAGAAAACCAGCTTTAGGGATAAAACTGCACCTGAATTGCTTTTGGCATACGTAGTCAACCTAAAGCTTTAAAAAGCATATGACCCTAACGAAAGGACAAACTAATCACTTTGCTTTTCATAACTAGCAAATTTCAGTCATTCCATCAAGTGAGTAAATGGGGTCATTTGAGCCGTGAAAGTCGAATCATTGCAACGGTTGAACATGGGGTCGACAAATAATAAACGGCCATCATTTTAGCAGAAATGGATATTCGAATGAGGTAAGAGGATATCTCAATAAATCAGCGCTCTAAACTGTGACTATTTAAAGTTGAGTTTTTGAGCACTTGCCGTATGTTCGGATTGCGACGCGTAATCTCATTTGAGATCTCCGTTCACTTTGAAATGAATCTGATCCCATCTAAAGCGGTAACGCTTTCATTACAAGTCCAACAGTTTTAATCCAAATTTGGTCTACCATACCAAAGGTACATAAAGTGGTGTTACTGATCAATCTGGTGATGGTCATCGTTCGCTAAATTTTCCCGCTGCGTTTGACTGGAGTTCACCTGCACTTTTGTTTGTATTATTCACCGAATAATTCGCAGACAAGTGCCGAATGGAAAACACCTGTGAGCATTCGGTGCTAAAGGTTAAATTCGCATTGGTGTGCCAGTTTTGAGAAAAGCAACACCCAAATATATCCATATTGGTATTAGTTTGTTTGGTAGCTGTACATCAAATAGTCTGATATACTGATGAGCTCAGAGCAGCTCGTCTGACCGGCTTTTCTCTAGTGTCGTGCACAAAAGAGCTACTTAAGCCGTTTTACACGACTGTTTCACTGCTATGTGCGATGTCCCAGGAGCAAGGTCGATCGATGGACTAAAGGATTATGCGAAAATTGGTTCTGACGATGCAGCAAAGTAATACGGCGGTCTAGCACAGTTGGAGCTCAGTCCGCCACAGCTAATGTGTATTCCTGAAACCTCTATAGCATTCTTTCAAACCATACGCTGCATTGATGCATCAGGGGAGTGAACAATAAGCAACACGTGAACAGCCTAGTAACGCTTATTTACAAGAAGGCAACGGTAATCTCGATTGGGATTTTTAAAAAGATGCTAATGGGAACTAGTCGCAAAGGAGTGCACCATAGTAGTCCAATTTGAAGCATTCATCACATAAGAAACTTTTTACAAATCTTATCCATACAGGAAATTGAGCGATATAAGTGGCGCCACAAATGAAACACTAAACCCTGTTTCATAGAAGCATTCGGTGGCTTTTTCATTGTTGTGTGCTCATGATTCCTTGTATAGTTCTCAAACGGTTGAACGACAAATCCGACAACCTAGATTGTTCCGAGATGTCCGCTACCGTGGTTGTCGTTAGGTAACGAACGGGGTCATTGTTGGTTCACCTGTCTTTGTGTGCATCCGCGTGCACCCAGTTGGTTGGTTACTAAGGAAAGACTCTTTTTACTTTCGTAAGGTAAAGAACCCCGCATTGGTCGATGGTGCATCGAAGCCGTTGTGCACAGTCACGCGCTCATCGCAAACCCATTTACTCCGTCCGAAGTAGTCCACCGCTTCTGCGTTACGACATATCTACGATTCAGTGAACTTGTTGCTTTGAATGGCGACGAAACATTCGGTAAGCCCAAATGTGATTTGTTTCTGTGCTGGATGTGCATTTAACTGCTGTGTCAAATCTCCTTCTGAATTTACTGTCCAATTCACATCTATATTGATGCACCATATTAGCTGGCAAATTCGTTTATCTAATGGTAATCCTCACTGGGTCATTCATACCTTTGTCATCCATCTGATCAGAAAGTTGCATGGTGATTACAGTTGACGCATTTTTAGGAATGTTAGACGAAGTGAGTTTGTAGGGTGAGGAAACGAGAGCGATCTGGGTATGAACAATTCCGTACCGCCTGTTAACACAACTTGTGATTTTGACACGATTATGCACCTAGAAGTGATATATGCAACCGAAAGAGACTTCGAATTGTACAGCTTGAGAAATTACATTAAGTCGTAACTAAAATTCCCAATCAAGTGGGCTCTTTGGTTTATTATTTTCCTTTGAACGATTCGCTTTGTGTTGGGAGCTGGCACAAAGAACCGATCATGGACAGGACACCACTTTGCAGCGAATTCTCTAACCTCAACTGAAGTAGAAATATTTACAGTATTGCCCTTTCCCAAATTTGTATTCTTTTGGGCCATTGCAGTCAGATAAGATTCTCAGCTACAGTGGTCTCAAGATAAACAAACTGAAATGGGTGAAACTCTTCGTGTTGATAGCCAGCGATACCAATCGCTGCTTAATGGGTTTGCGTTTCGGGATAAGAAATCGTTGAGAGTTAATTTTGGACGCCAATCTTTTTGCTCTATTAATACCACTGAATATAAGCAAACTTGACTATTCGTTATGAAGCGACAGCAATTTATCATCGTCCGATTTGGTAATTGTGACGCTGATAATATCCTTAAATGACCAAGTGGTAGACCAGTAAATTGTTCACCTGCAGCAATGGTAGACAGCTCAGCGAATTATGAGTTAAATGGTCGCACGCAAAACTTTTTCTTCAGTATTACTAATATTGATAGTCTGCTTATATTGAAAACCACATATATTGTGTGGTTATAGATTATCACACAATGAAAAGCATTTACAGCGATGGTTCATAAACAAAGTAAACTGCCGTACACTTGTTGTACTGTAAGCAATGACTAACTAGCATATAAAAAACAGCTCCGTTAGTTCGATTACAGAGGTCGGTTTGCACGAAACCAGCAGATCGATGGTCATATTTCAGGAAGTTTGTCAAATTTTTCGACCATTTTGCGCGGTTAGTCGATCAGCGTGAGGTATCAGCTTTCAAACATGTTGCAAGTCTCGTTTTCAGACAGAAGCTGCCTGTCCAATCGTCTGCACATGAGAATACAAACCTCAGGTACATGCCACAAAACTAACGAACCCAAATGGACACGTCTGCTTGGATGTCCAGGGGACAATGTAAAGCTGGCTGCTCTCTGAACACGGAAGATGCTGTCTCAGTCAGATGTGGGACAGTGGGTAGCTAGAGATTTCGGTGGATGGTTACTGGCATCACCTAACCACGTTCGTCGACTTCCGAGCACTTCATTATTGTGCACCCTGTTGACCAACATTGTGATCCCAAATTCGAGTAACAGCGATCGAGCCTCATGACACATGCCTGCTATGTCTTTGTCACGGTAAGTAAACGTTCGACAGCGTATGCTGTATATGGCCCAGAGCCCTAGGGTAAAGAAAACGCGCTTGAACAGAGTACGGAGTAATTAACAACTGGCAAAACATTTTGACATTCATTCACTGGAGACACGATGAGATTGGTGTGTGTGTGTGTGTGTGGGCATATATGTTTGCCGTCCATCCACCTGAGTGGATTAGAGCGTACGATAATGCATACTATCAACCGATGGTTGGTTTGACCGGATCACTCGCAGTATTGTGACACGACCAATCGCCACTTTTACACATCTTACAGGCGTATACAGTCTGGGTTGAATTCCAAACGGAATCCCGGAACGCGCTATCATGGACTCATTTGATCAGCTTGTGTTTATGGTTATTAATGGCCGGAGTGATCGTCTTTGAAATAGTTTATTATACTTTCTCTTTCTCAGCGAAGTATATAACAGTGGATCTTGAGGTGGAGTGTATCACGACAGGTTATTTATCGTACGGACTGTCGTCTTTCGCCAGGGTACAGAGATTTTGATAGCAAGGGCTAAGTTCCATTCTCCACCATGTCAGCCTTGATTAGACCTTACTTCTTAGGATCACAGTTCTGTTATGCAGGAAACCGATTCTGCTGCAATATATGGTACCCCGTAAGTTAATATCACAAAATGGGAGCATTTAGTTTCCTTTATTTCCATTGTAACAATCGAGTATCTATACTAGAATATGAATAACAGCAATGGAGCAATAATTTTATACCGGTACAATTGCTAAAGATTAACAGGTCCAATAGGATGGTCATGGTTAAATTACGAAATACAGCAAAAGTGCTAGCGAAATTGGGTTTACACCGGCAAACTCACTGAGGTATACGTTGTATAAGATATGAATCCAAGGTAAATCCATAAGGAATTACGGTAAATGGGCTGTTGGTAAAAATCGTGTCTCCTCCGGGTGTACACATAGAGGTGATAAAGTGGAACGAAATCTGTGATTTGACCGCCAGTGAAATCGTTTACAGACACTAATGCTTATCCATGGGTAATGAGTCATGTGAGTTTGTAGCGCATTCCACGTTCTGCAAACGCGTAAGGAAAAGAAATGCCAACGGCATTCCAAAGCACTGTACTGTTCGGCCAGCTTGAAATGGTGGCCTCTCAAATTACTGTTGTGACTAAGCTCTAGCAAGTAGCGGCACGTACAGTTAGGATCTCACAAAATCTGGCAACTCAAAATGTGATCTTAGCGCAATCGCCGATACTGCCCGCTGAAGACCTCGAGCACTTGAAGCCTTCGTTCATACGGCAAATTATACAGACCCTTGACATTCTTGTTTTCCTGGCGTCAGTGTATCTCCAAGGCGGTGAGATCTCTCCTCAGCCACAGATACAAGACCTGTATTGCGTAATCAACATATAAACATATGTATAAGCCGAGAAGCTGTGAAAATATCAATGGGTCGAATCGTCCGAATGCATGCTTCAGGAGACCCACGTGTTGGATGCCCCTTCTTGACACCGTTTCAGTCTGACTCGAACATCCAAGGTCGACCTGGACCAAAACTCTCAGATCTCTCCAGAAGACGTTTGTAGCTCCTGGTTGCTGAGATTGCAGGAGTGCATCAACTTGCGCCGTAGGCCCAGTACTCTACATTTGTCCACATCGAATCGAAGTTGATTCTGGATTGAACACGCGTATATCCCATCCAGATCTGCTTATAGTACTGTTATATCATCTGATGTATTGATCGCCCTCCACCTCTTGTTGTCATTGGTATAAAGCATGAAGTTCAAGCTAATGAAGCGTGTGATATCGTTAATATACGTCAAAAATAACCACGGTCCTAGTGCCGACCGCTGTGGTACTCTGCATTCAACTCGGATGGGATCTGACAACAATTTGCGCACTCGTACTTCCAAGCGCCGGTGTAGGAGAAAGATTCCGATCCATTCGAAGAGAGGATTACCAATACCAAAATCTGAAGTTGCAAGGGCAGAATGTTATGCTCTAACCGATCAAATGCCTTTGGGAAGTCAGGAAAAACTACATCAACTTCTGTGACAGAGTCCACTGATTCAGTCCAGCTAGATCGTACTAGCAGTAGATTTCTAGTGCATGATCGGTTTCGTCGGAAGCCATGCTGTTCCAGTGCCAGGTAGTTAAATTCTTCCAAAAAGGCGGTTGGTGCATCAGAAACAATAACTTCCATAAGCATGGAAAAGGAACCGGTAATAAGGTTATGGGACGGTAGTTAGCAGTGCCGAAGCTCTGACATTTGCTGTTTTCTACGTGCAGTCGCTACGAATCTTGGATTAATATACATAATTCGTTTCCTCCTTGTGTGATCCAGTCCCACTGGAAAACGGTTAAAAGTAAATCTAACGGTTACTGTGAAAACTGTCCAGAAGTTGTAGAACAATCAAACATAAATTGTGTGTTCGAATGAAAGGCATTTCCATAGAGCTTGGGTCACTTTTGTTAGGAGGACTCAAATTTCGTGAAAAACTTAGTTAACGGCTTGTGCTTCGCTACCGTTGGTTTCTTGATATTTGTTTAAAAGTCTCAATTATTTGATTGGATTGACCTGCCCACATCGTTCGGAATGGATGTCATCTCAGGAGTCTATTGCCGCTAATGCCGTTTCCTTCAACTCGCCTAATCGGTTCTTACATGTACCACTTCGTACTCGCCTGCAGTGTTCAGTGTCTACAGCGTTAATGTTCGGCTCCAAAGCGTTTTAGCAACCCGGCTTCAACTACTGCTGTACCCATTTAAATGAGCCGATTACAAGTGAAAAGCTCGGTCGTGGCTCACCTTGCATCATTTAAGCGGACGTGGGTGCGAGAAGAGTCAGTGGCGACATAACAAACTTTAACCCCGATTTAAGACTCAGGCAAAGGGTGTTTCATTACTCATACCCGGAGCTAGGATCGGCTGCACTCAGGTGCTGACGCACAACCAGTACGCTGAATTTCTAATGTACAATAGTGCAATTTGCTTTGCCGACAGGGGTGAGATGGGACACAGACGCCACCTGCGTGCCTACGATCGCAGAGCACACCGAGCCGTTCGGCTGAGAAGCGAATGTTAGCCGGACACCACAGCCGCAATGAATGCGTCATGCCTCGAAAGCATAGCAAGATCAACGGAGCGCCCGCAGTTCAGCTGTGAGAACTGGACGTGAGCCAGACATCATATTGCCGCACTGAAGGTGGTATGCATCGATCGATCGGTTCACGCAAGTGAAAAGCCAGCAAAAGGGTTTCCTTCTAAGTGTGTCGCTGTGCTAGCAACTGAGAAAAGCAGAATGGCCGTAAGTGAGAACCGGTCGTTGGGCGCCGTATTGCTATCGCTACAAAAGCTGTTATCACCTCATGACTAGCTTCCAACAAACCTGTAAGCTTTAATTAGGTTGC